TTAGTACCTTGCACTCTATTCTTTTCCGTTCATCTTCCTGTTCAACTCTATGGTCTTTGGTTGTTGCTTCAGCTACTCCACCAATACAAAGAACAGCTCTACAATCTCCCAAATTGGAAAGAATTACTTCTTCTCCTTGGTATCAGAGCTGTGACACAGCAGACACCACTGCCTAAACCCTAGAAAATTATGGAAATTTTTATAAAACAGTAGTTCAAGATGGACAAGAAATTGCATTTTAGGGAGAAAATGTAGCTCCATATGGCATTACCAGATCCAAGAACCCTTGGTCCGTTTTCAAGACAGCGGCTTTAATTGCGTCTTCCTTCTCTGCAGATCCCATGCAATTGGCCACCACTTGCAACATTTGCAACAAATTCCGCTGCCTTCCTGCCTCCATGGTCATCATAAACGCCAAAAAAGGCCTACGCTAAAAGACGGTTCATCACAGAAGTAAATTAAGCTGCTAGAATTCTAAAAGAAATGAAAGCTCAATTACATCGATTAAGTGGCCTCTCGAGCGAGGAATGATCTTGCGAGTATCATCCATAAATCTCTTCTTGCCCTTGACGGAGAAAACCCCCACGTGATCTGGAAAATCTGAAAACAGAAATTGAATCAAAATATAAAGAGAGACAAGTACTAGTGCACATGGATCGAGAGTACGATAAATCTAAAAAAAAAAAAGAAAAAAAGGAGATCATGACGAATTAGCAATTTATTCGCACACAATAGACAGAAACACATATTACATCTTGTGTTTCTAAACAGATTGATATCATATCGCAACGAAAAAGGACCAAATACTTTTGAAAAGAAGCATCGACGGAAACTCGATAGACGCACAACTTTGAGTTTTCGCAATTAATCTGAAGAGCGATAATGAGATGCAAGCAGCAGAGGCGGGAAGGCATAATAAGGAGAAAGAAGTTAAAAAAAACGGCCTTAATATAAAGTTCAGGGGAGTAAACAGAGTACTTCAAGTTCACCAGTCCCGCCGGAAGGAACGGAATCGGATCGGGGAGTGGCGGCTCCAAGTTCGTCGGCTTGAATCTTCCGCAAGACGGTATGGATCTCAATCTTTGGCGGGTCTTTCCTTTTAATATTGAATTACAAATTTTGAAAGCTTATGTTTATTAATGATAAGTTTACTTAATTAACGTGAGATAAAGTAGAAGAAATTAACATTTTGGTTTAAAGCGTGATTGACCTTCTGTCCCGATATTAGAACCGATGTCCGTCCTTTCAGTGTAGAGTATTTAAGATTAGAAGTGCTAGAAATCACGACCATTTTCAATGGTATGAAACTTGATCGATACTGCATTTGTGGAGTAAAACTTCAGGTTTGTTTGGATTGGATGGTTTGGAATTTAGATGCAAAAGATCCGTCGTATTACACTAGAAATACGACTCCTTTTTGGTATTTGAAACTTTGGTGTATTGATCTTATTTATGTTAATTAGGGTCGGCATAACATGGAATATAAAAAAAGAGACAAGAATTGATATTGTATTTTTTTATTTTTTTATTTTTTTATTTTTTACTTTTGATTGATGAATAAATTTTACTTTTTTGTTGGTACAAAAGTATGGATACATTATTTTGACATTAAAGTGTAGCTTGGGTTCGTAGTTTGTACTAAAAAAAAAAGAAACATTAATTTGATATTAATGGGGGAAATAATGCAGCATTATTTAGATTTAGAGAAGAATTTATAGATTTAAAATAAAGTAAATTGAAATAGAATAATTATTGTAGGTGTGAATGTTGAAGAGAGTGAAAGGTTAAAAAGCAATAATGGAAGATGAAAAATGTGTGGTGGAGGTTATTATAGAATGGAATACTTGAGAGTAAAAAAAATTGAGTATTAAATGAACTCTTCCTTCCATATAATTTCTCCTTTACTCTCTTTCTCAACCTTTTAATCATCCCATCAATGCGACCCCTTCCCACCAGTAACTCTCCATATATATATATATATATGATATGCCATTCATGCACGCCATGCAAAGTATTGAACGTCCTGATCTAGGGTGAGATAGATGTGTATTCCTATTAAACTAATTAAATACAAGAGGTGGAGGAAACTATTTTTTATATTTTTATTTTTATAGTGATCAAAATATTTGAAAGGAGTTTGGATTGAAAGGAGTTTGGATTGAAAGGAGTTTGGATTGAAAGGAGTTTGGAGTAGTGATCATAACACAAAACTGTAAATAGAGGAGAGGTGGTGTGATGAGCTCAAGCGTTTTCCAGTTTAGCTGCAAATGCGTTTAAAACCTCCGGGCATTGGAAGATATCATCCAGCATCACATTCTCAGGATTCCCAAATACACGCTCACCGCCTTCATTGAACTCCGCCTGGATGCTACAATCTGGGTAATCCAATAAATCCAAGTCAATAGTGAAGCTAGGTGAGTGTTGGTTGTTCAATTCATCCGCAACCGGGTCGGATTGCTCATCGGAGTTGGAGTTGGAATAATCGGATTTGGGGAAGAATCCGTGAATTATCTCTTCCAGCAACCCCGAATCGGGGGAGTCCTTTGGGAGAAACTGGGAGGAGTAGTAGTTTTGTTGTTGTACGGAATGATCGGGAGGAGGAGGAGGGGGAGGAGGAGAGGCTGCTATTTTGGTCGCCGCGGTATTATTAATCAATGAAGGGGGCTTTGGATTACTAGCATTGGCAGAAGGGAAGTTGAGGAAATCACGAAGAAGAAGCATGTCGAGAGTGGGAGAAGCGGTGTTAATCCTCTGCGCTCCGGACCACAGGAAGTCGGCCCCACGGCTGGGAGTGGAAAACATGGGCCAGTTGGATGCGTTCACACGGGGGAGACCCGGGTGAGATTGTTTTGGGAAATTGAAGCGAGGGATTACATACTCATCCGACAATGAGTGAGGGGGTGGGGAGGAAGGGTATACGAAATTGGTGCGAGCCTTCAGGCCACGCATGGACCGTGCGGCGCAGTCGTACGCACGTGCAGCCTCCTCCGCAGTGTCGAACGTCCCAAGCCATCTTCTTTCTTTGGACTGAGGGTCTCGAATCTCCGCAGCGTAACGCCCCCACGGCCTGCGCCGAACTCCACGGTACCTCATTGTGGCAGTAGTGGAGTTATGATCTCGAAGGGTTCGCTTGAGACCGGTGGCGCTGGTGGGAGCGGCGGTGGTAGTGGTGGCGTTGGACTTCATTTGGTAGTCGAGGAAGGGATTGTTGGTATTAGTATTATTCGTATTGTTGTTGACACGCCTGAAGGAGTCTTCCATTTTGAAGAGAGAAGAAGATTCAACGGGGAGAGGGCGTGTTGTGTTTGAGCAGTGGGATTGGTATTGATGTCACTGCGGCTGCAGCCGGGTGCGTGTATTTATAGTACAAGAAGAGGAGCGAGGTCAAGGTGTGGGGTCCCCATCATTTCCTCTCATATACTTTGTCACAGTTGCAAATTATTTTTGTATTTTAATTCAATAATGCACTCGTTTCTTCATCCAAACAAACCATAATACAATTATTGGAAGTATAGAGGTTGGCGGTATTAATATCTCTTTACATGTAAATGGGTAGTAGTAAAGTTTTTTATTTATTATTATTTGTTATTTGTATGTGTATTTTATGCATGATGGGTAGATATGAATTAAATGCCTCTACGTACCATCGTATATGTGTATAACTGGGGCATTTTATAATATATGTAATTAATATGCCTTCCCAATATATTAAATTAGAGGTTTCTGCATATGAATTTTTTTTTTAAAAAAGTTCATATATCTAATGGTTGCATGAGTTTTAAAATATATGTATGGATGATGGCCTGAGTACCACTTTTTAGATGTCATTAATGATCATTAATGAAAAATCAATAGGTACGCCAAAAGTGATTAGTGAAGTTACAGCCTTTAATCTAATTTGGCCACCTTGGCTACCTTTTTAATGGAATACTAGTACGTACAAGTATTAATTATTAATGTGCACAAAAGTTTTTTACAAAATAATTATTTCTAGACACAATAATGCAAAGTTCTTTTTCTATAATGAATACTCTTTATTTTAGTCTATATACATCAACTTGATTTTAGTTTAATGGGTATATTTTTAAATACCTAAATTTAGTTACTACAGTTGAGTAAAGTGCTCCCTTTAAATATGTTTTGAAGTAATCAAGATTTTCATAGAGTTGGAGTTTAATCATGTATGAAAAATTGTATTTATAATTAGATTTGAAGTGTATTTTAAAGGCAACATTATAAATTTATTATCAATTACAAATATTTATGAATGGTTATGAATTTTAATATTAAGAAAAAAGAGGGAGAAAGAAAGATATATAGATATCCGCGTGAAATCATGGGACTTGTTGGTTTTTATTTATTATTAATTGGGTGACATTTATTTGTCATTCCTTTTCAATACAAAATAATGTTTCAAATTAAATAATATTGTCTGAAGTAAATAAGAATTATTGAATGTCCGTGAGTGAATATTACATGTTTTTAGTTACTACAGTCCAATCCTTGTAATAAATTAATAATTCCATCACAAACCAAACTATATTCCTTACACTTGTATTATATAATAATGTTTTTACTTATATATATATATAATATATACACATGCCTTTAAATGCCTTTCTGCGTCCACTTTAATTATGCAATCCCCTGTATCAATTTTTTTTTTCTGAATTCCCCCTTTAATAATGCCTCATTTAATTCTCACAAATGCTTTTTTTTATTTTATAATTTATTTCTTTATAAAATATTATTTTATTTAAAAACAATAAAAACATTACACTTCCCTTCCACAAGGGGAACGTACAAAGATATTTAGGGCATTGTAAATGGTAGTAAACAGTATTGGACGTGGCATTCTACCATTGGCCCATCCCCATGCATGCTCTCCTCCATTTTATTTTATTTAATGCACATTTATAATTTTTATAAGTCCCAATTTATATATCTCTGCACCACCCTTTAATTTTTATTTCTTATTAACTATTTATATTTAATAAAATGTGGAATATAATTGGGCGCCTCACTTTTTAACCCCCACCCTCCTATCGGCCTCACATTCATTTTCCTTTTCTCTGCCCCCACTTCTGGTTCCCAACTAACTGTGCGTAATTAATTAAATAAATATACAGTTTTACGGATCCAAAATGTAAGCTGAAGTGGGATGAGTCATCCAACGACGTGGCATCGCTGTTGGCATTTTGGAAAAAAAAAACACACGTGCCAAATAACCAACCCCTTATCTGATGTGGCATCGTATTTACTACACCAAAGCGAGAGAAATGGTGTTTTGGTCCAGAACAGCATTGGTTGTTGTACAGAATTGGGGCGAGGGCCCATTTGGTTAAAGAAAGGAGCAAGCATTTAGGTGTTGAGAGAGTTGGTGAGCTGGAAAGTCTCCTTGACTCTTCTTATTGTTCCTTCTTGTGCGCGGAATTGGTGCATGAATTGTTTGTAAGTGAAGGTTTTGTAGAGGGGCGGGTGGTGTTCGTCCGTCAGCTCCTCAATGGGCTTGATCACCGTCTCGTCGTTGGGTGCATAGAACATTACTAGCGATAATCTTCTCCTCGCGCTGTTGGTTACAGCCCTGTGGATCACGCTTTTATACCTTCCATTGCTCAATACCTTCAAAATCCATTCTCATATTTTTTAAAATCCAAACTAAGGAATGTAGGACGAATTTACGCTATTATATTTTTTCAATTCAATATTTTGTAGCCAAATTAACAACTAAATTTGGGAAGAAACACAAATTCAACTCCATGGTATTGTGAAGGTATGATATTGTGAGCCTCCACACTGATATGATATTCTCCACTTTCAACAAAAGCTCTTATGGCTTTGCTTTGCACTTCCCAAAAAGCTATATTCCAATGGAGATATATATTTTTTTTATTATAAATCATGATCCTTCCCTAAAAAAAAACTTAGTCATGTCAATAGAATTCTCAAGAACTAGGTATTGTGAGCCTCGAAGGCATAGTCAAAAAATGACTAAAACTTCAAAAGAAAAAGGAGTCGATTAAGGGGAAACATACTTTATTCGAGGGGAGGCGTTGGATGAAAGTTCTACGTCGGTTAATTCAGGGAATGATCATGGGTTTATAATTAAATAATATTATCTTGACTAATATGAAGTCTTTTGGAAAGCTCAAATTAAAGGCACCAGAGTTTATGTTCAAAGTGGATAATATCGTCTTATTCATCTCACAGGTGTTACTTGTGAAGCAAGAAAAAGAAAAACACAAACCTGAATTTGATCGGCCACATTAACGACCAATGAATTTGGACGAGGAAGGAGAGAGACCCATTGCTGATCCTTCATGATCTGAAGGCCAGCGGCGTCCTGGGTCTGCAACAGCACAGCAATGGCCACAATATCAGTATGAGTGCCGAGGCCCATGGTGAGCTCTGGTTGTGGGCAGGGGGGATAGTAATTAGCCTGCGAGTACAGCTCCGGCTTCTCCCCTATGCTCCTCTTGAGAGCCCCCTCGTCAAGCCCCAGCCCCAACGACATCAGCCCCAAAACCCTTTCCATTAGCCTTCCCATTTCCCTGGCGTACTCCCCGTACACTTCCCTGTATTGAGGTGGGTTTTGGGGTACGTCACTTAGAAATTCCTGCCCCACCGGATCCCACGGAAGCGTGAAGGTTTCGCTCCACAGATTGATCTTCCGCCCCTCCACGTCCTTGGCGTAGTAATTGAAGATTTTAACTTTCTTAGTGTGATCCGTGGTCACGTATTGGTTTCTTTGCTGGGGAGGGAGGTGGAAGAATTGGATGGTGGTGTCCAAGACGGCGTCGCATAAGCGTTGCGGGATCCCGTGGTTGGTGACTTGGAAGAAGCCGAAGCTTTGGCAGGCTTCCGATACTTGGTGGACGAGAAGGGATTGGTCGTGAAGATTCAAGTCAATGGTGGGTAGGGAGATGGTGTGGGATACGTGTTGGAGATCAGGTCTCATGTGGTCGGGGAGAACATAGGAGGAAGAAGAAGAGAGGGAAGGAGGAAGAGAGTCGAAGGCCATTTTGAATGTTGCCATGATGTACTTGTTGTGTTGTCAAGCTAAGCTATGCTGCCGGTTGGGAGTTTTTGGTGTTTGGAATTTGGAAATTTATAGAAGACCACCCAAAACGATTGCTAGAACACCTCCATCTCCATATTACACTTCCTCACCCATCACACTCTCTTTCTTCCTCTTCGTGTTATCATTACATCTTTACGATTACGATCGTAGTAATTTTAGTTCATTCATATATCTCTCATTTGTTTAGGAGTTATATGCGCACCCACCAGCTTCTGCTTTAGTTTATCTCTAAATCACGTCTTACTCGGATATTACAAATGGCATCCAAGATGTACCTCTCCCCAAACCAACGATGTTACTATATGATTGTGATATATTGATTAAAAAATAAAAATAAAACATCTAATTGCATTTTCATCCTCTATTAATAAAATGAATAAAATGAAAGTGGGGCGGTGTAATTTGACTTGGAGATATTGAAGCATTCATACATAACAAAAGGGTTTGACTTTGTGGGCACATGAAGAGAGAGGATGAGGGCTTTCTGTACCCAAATAATAATTTTGAATGTTATTATTTAGGAATCAAATATAAAAAAGTTGTGATTAATGATTCAATGATTGTACAATCCAAAAGTCGTCCACAACTTAACCAAATTATTAAAGTCTAAGTCTTTGGTATAAGCTAAATTAATGAAGGTTCTATTCATATTCCATCATCAATAAATAAATAAGTGATTAATTAAACCAATTTGGATAGCCTACGTCCTATATTTTGTTGGTATTGCAATTTTATTATGATCCCAAGAGTGAATATAAAATAAGTGTATTGTTTAGTTGGATTGGGGTGGGATAATGGACTTGGATTTAGGGTGTACCAATAAATTAGGCCCATGCCCACAATTCAACATCCCCTTATTGTGTCTCGTTAGAATGATGTATTATGTTTTGAAGAGAGTGGAGGAAAAAGATATTTATAATCCAAATACATTCTGCTTTATACTTTCCCTTTATTGTTTTAATTACTTTTGCACGTCTCTTTCCAACAGGAATCTCCATTTCTGTGGAACCAAACCCAACCTCTTCCATCTCTTTCAAATCTCATCCTTTATTGTTTCCTCAATATTTGCCTTCTTTGTTTATGGAGATTCTTACTAAATTCACCTGCATCCCTCCTCCGCCATTCTAAGGAGATTCCCCAGCCGCAGCAATTCACTAAGGAAACTAATTAAATTACAGTTTCAATGATCAGAGAGAGAATTCAATTAAGAAAGAATTTGGAGTGGCGGAAACTTACTCATTTGTGCCCGCAGCTTTAATCTCCGAGGCCAACCGCGAGAAAGAATCTCACTCGTGCCCAAATTCCTGGACAAAAAAATCACCCAAAAAGATTATTGGATGACAGAAAGAAGAGCAGGGGAATACACACTTGTTTGTTCATCAGTTACATAAAACAGATAGCATGCAAGAAAAAGTAGGAGGGGGCAAACGACGGCGGGGGAATTGGGTAAGCCAAATTTATCGCAAGGCAAGGATTGAAGAAGAACAAACTCAACTCAACTCACCACAGTATTAAGTTGGGGATCCGTAACGAAATTGGACCGAAAATTCATTAATCGCAATGCAACCAAATTAGCACAGCAGAGACAATTACATTGTATCAGCCTCTGAATTTTAATTTCCTTTAAGTGGATCATATATATATATATATATATATATATATGCATATATAATTCAATTGATTTGATTTCTGTTTGGCTATCCGGTTCCCTCCCTGCTGGAAGAGTTAGGGTTATTCCCAGCAGCGACCATTGTGGACGAACATGCGGCTAGAGCTTCCCTGAATATTATATACACTGCAAGGAACCGCAGATGCAGATCTCTCCAAGTAGGAAGCATGTGGCGGCGACATCCGACGAAAGCAACGGTGAGCCGCCGACATCGAGGACAAGGAGGAGGAGGAGGAGGAGAAGGAGGGCATTGAAGAAGGAGGCGAGATTCTCTTGGCATATTTAGGAGGGAAAAGGAATGCTCTGATCTTCAACGACGAGGAAGAGGAAGCCGCCCGATCGTATTCCTCGATGAGATTGGCGAGATCTTCATCGGAGGTGATGGAGACTAGAGCATCCAGATCTTCCTTAGGCAATTGGCAACGAAAGCTCACAGAAATTGATGTTCCGCAGAGCTCCCCGAACTTCAACAGAAGATCTGTCGTGTAAGATTCAGAAACTCCGAAGTTAAAAACCATAATCAAATCAATCGGAAAGTGGAAGAGAGAGAGAGGGAGAAAAGACGGTTACCAGAGAAGGAAATGGAGCGGTTGAAAGCAAGAAGGCGGGTTTCGCCGCCGTGATAACGGAGTTCGCCGTCGGGATAACGAGGGAGAATCTTGCCGCCGTAGCTGCAGAGGAACTTGATGGTGGGAGTAGGTTTGGAAGTGAGTGCGGTGCGGTGGAGGGGAGGTCTGCCCATGTGTCGTCGTATGCCTTGTTCTTGCTCTTGTTCAACCGGAACGGAACACCCTTTACCTGTATTTATACACTTTCGATTATTTTCTCAAATTAAGAAAAAAAAAGGAAAAAGGAAAACCCGGTTCAAACCGAAGTGGTGAGAGAAGAGAAGACACGGTGGATGGAGAGCAGCCACGTAAAGGAAAGGAAGGATGAGACAGCATGAATTGTGACCCACACATTTTATTTCCTCCCTCATCCATGCCATATTTAATCAATATTTTATTTAATTTTATTTATTACAAAAAAGGAAAAAAGGAAAAAAGAAAAAAGAAAAAAGAAAAAAGAAAAAGAAAGAAGGCGGAAGGGTTATGGCACGTGGGGTCGTATTCACATACAAGCCTTGTTTATTTATTAATCTGATTTAGCCGGGGTGGATATCGGAATGAGTGAGGAGGGCGGGGCCGGAGGTGTCCAACTGGGCGGACCGTAGTTGTAAGACGCGGAGGGATATGATTGGGGAATGGGGATGAATGTCCCAATCTATCAATTAATAGCATTTATTAAAGAGCGTTGATATTTTTTTAGCAGATTTTTCTCAGGTTTTGAAGGCAGCGTAGTGCATAGGTAGGCAATGTGATGGGTGGTCGGCATGTGCAACACTTCAAAGGCTGGAGCTTCTAACCCCAAACAAAAAAGAGGAAGAAGAAGAAGAAGACGACGACGATGGATGGGACGTTGTTTTCCAATGGCGATGGAAAGAAGAAGGGTGGAGCCTTGTTCTTATCCAGAATCGCTTTTACCCCATTCATTTCGATGCCCAACTTGGAGGAACATGCAACTTCAATTCAAACATTACGTATCATCTCTTTCAATTCATTGCTTTTTGTTTATTCAACATTATCCCTTTTCCTCTATTTCTTTTTCTCCACACCCAGATATTCCCAATCATATCTACTATAGCTTATCACATTCACAACAATCATTTTTCACTTTTCACTCTTAACCCACCACGGATGAAGATACTCTTGATGAGTGGTGTGGGTGCTTCAGAACTTGGGGGAAAGTGTGGTTGCCTGAAAGAAGGCCAGGTTGGAACTCCACGAAAGCTTTTAGAATTCGTATGTAATCACAAATAAATAAATTACTTGATCTTCATCATGCACGAACAGCTGGAATAGCTCAGTTGGTTAGAGCGTGTGGCTGTTAACCACAAGGTCGGAGGTTCAAGCCCTCCTTCTAGCGATTTCTATTATGTTTTTATTTAAGAGTTTTGGTAGCCAAGAAGGAATTTTGAAGAAGGGGAATGAACGATCATGATGGAACACAGACCAAAATTCCAGACTGTACTTTTCATTTTCTTTTATTATATTTCCTGATTCTGACCCATACCCAAAAGCAAAATTGGAAAACCCACCTTCTCTCTTTCACTCCCACTCCAACTCCGCTCACTTAACTCGGAACGAATCGGTATTTATTTTTCCAGCGTTCAGGAGAATTGACGTTGTCGGACCACAAATATAGAGTACCCTAACTACCTCAAATGGATTCCGGGGACAAGCGGATTGAAGAGGAACTGTCCCACCCGATTGTGCTGTCGGAGCGTGTTCGCTCGGCCGTCGACGAAGCCGAGTCCTTCAAAAATGAGTGTGCGGAAGTGGGCAAGCAAGTTGATCGCCTTGCCCAAATGCTCAGAACCTCGGTTCGATTCGCTACAGCAACTCCCACCCTCTACGAGCGTCCCATCCGGCGGGTGGTTGCCGAGGTTTCCAAGAATCTGGAGCGTGCCCTAACCCTTGTACGCAAATGCAAGCGTCAGAGTGCTCTTCGCCGCGTAATGACCATCACTAGCGTTGCTGATTTTCGAAAACTGTTCAACCTTCTAGACGCTTCCGTTGGGGATATGAAATGGCTTCTCACTATATTCGAATGCAACGGAGGCGGTATCGTGCTTTCGCTTCCCCCAATTGTAAGCAATGACCCGATTATTGCTTGGGTTTGGTCCTCTATTGCCTCGATTCAGATGGGTCAATTGCACGATCGTATTGAAGGGACCAACGAACTCACTTCGCTTGCCGCTGATAATGAGAGAAACAAAAACATTATTGTTGAGGAAGGCGGAATTCCTCCTCTGCTCAAGCTTTTGAAGGAAGGACCCTCGCCGGAGGCTCAAATTGTGGCCATCAAGGCACTTTATACGCTTGCAAATGATCCGAATAGAGTGAGAACTATTGTTCAAGAACATGGAATCCCGATTATAGTGCAGACTCTTGCAAACTCGCCGATGGTGGTGCAGACACAAGCGGCGGGTTTGGTGGCGAGAATGGCGATGCATGACCCCCTGGCCCAAGAAGATTTTGCACGGGAGAACGTGATACGACCCCTCGTCACTCTGTTGTCGTTCGAGACTTTTATGGATGAAGTGGGTAGACAAAGCATTCATTCCATTGTTCAGATCAACAGGAACCTAGAGAAGAAGACACTAGTGGATAAAACAGTGGAATACAACCCGAATGCGAGTTCGCAGTGGAAGTCAAATTCTTTGTGTTATATGGAAGGGGGCAGCCGGGGAGGAAGTTGCCGGAAAGAGAGGGAAAATGAGAGACCTGAAATAAAGCTTAAGCTGAAAATAAGTTGTGGTGAGGCGCTGTGGATGCTTGCGAAAGGGAGCGTGTCGAATAGCAGGAGAATTTGCGAGACAAAAGGATTGCTTTGCATGGCAAAGATGGTGGAGAAGGAAGAGGGGGAGTTGCAGCTGAATTGTTTGATGTGTATAATGGAGATAACAGCTGCGGCAGAGTCCAATGCGGACCTGAGGCGTGCAGCGTTCAAGACAAATTCTCCTGCCGCCAAGGCTGTGGTGGATCAGATGTTGAGGGTGATCAATGATTTGGACAACCCAACTCTGCAAGTTCCTGCCATAAGATCCATAGGATCGTTGGCTAGGACATTTCCCGCGAGAGCAACACGAGTCATTGGTCCTTTGGTGGTGAAGCTTGAGAGTAGGCATGTAAATGTGGCTGCAGAGGCTGCCATTTCGCTGGGGAAGTTTGTTTGTCCGGAGAATTTCCTTTGCATGGAGCATTCGAGGACAGTAATAGAGTTGAACGGGGTGCCTCTCGTACTGAAGATACTTGGGGAGAACGAGAAGACACACATGTGTGGACTGATTCTGTTGTGTTATCTTGCACTTCATGCGGGCAGCAGCGAGGTTGTGGATCAGGCCCGGGTTTTGACAGCGCTGGAGGGGGCGGATCGCACCATGATTGCCCTGCACCCAGAATTGAAAGACTTGGTGGGGAAGGCAATTAGTCACCTCAATCTGTATCACGCAGGAATGGGAGTCCATTCTAAGGGGCACTTGGGGTTGCCCTAAAGCTTCTCCTTTCCTAAATCCAACCGTTTGGTTTACTTTGATGATGGCGGCATGGTATTATGTGTATATCCTCTAAACAAAATGTTCCACAGAGTTGTGTAGAAAATAAAGCTTATACCTTGTTAGCTTCCAATGTTGTTGACATGAATAGAATGGTTCAAAAGATTACGGAGTGGAATTGCAGTTTTTCCTCTGCCTTCTCGTTCCGCCTTTAATTGGTTTTTCATTATTCATCCAATCAAAATCCATTTCCTTTGGGTTGGTAGTCGTCTCCAGTAATCTTTTTTTATGTCTATATATCCTCTAAACAAAATTCTATTCTGTAGTTGATGGATTGTATGAATATGAACTATGAAAATCTGGGCAACAAACGGGATATTAAGTAAAACACAAGACTTCATTAGTTTTCAAAGCATGTTTTCCTACGATGAACAGCTTACAGTCACCATCCAATGAACATCTTTACCCAAACATGTCCTCCGCTCTTTTTATACACATAACACTCACTACAAGGCTTCAAATCTTCATCTTGTACTGCCTGTTGGTTAGAATCAAATGTCGTTTCTCAAGCTACAGACCTTAACAGAGCTGCCTTTTTTGGTTTTAGAAACACAAGAATTAAATCCTGGCAAAAAAAATCCCCAATAAAATGATAATCACTTGATAACATGATTTATTTCGAAGATATGGCGCGTAATCTCAGAGGATCAGGAATGGAAATACAAATCGATCATCAGAATTACACTAATACATATGAACGAATCATATCCAGCACAACCTGAACCAGTGAATTCACTTTGCAAATGAGGGAGTGATACGTGATTAATTGAAAAATGGGAAGGAGCTTCAAAAGACAACACTCATGTAAGAATCCTCTAAAGAAAGTAAGAAAAGAAAAAAGAAGTATGATTCATTATGAATGCCTTTGAAGAAAAAGATACAGAGAAACCATCTAATAAGTGGAATTAGTATTGCGGCAACTTTTATAGTGACTGACTTATAGTATTTTAGGATACAATGTTTGCAGCAAAAAACGTTCAGACTACTTTTTGTACTAAAGTTCCTTGATTTGTCGTATACATGGAAATGTCCCGTAGAGAGAACAAAAAAGAAGTAAAAGAAAAGATCCAGACGTGCACTAACCATTGTGAAAAGGGGATCAATGAGAAGAAGGCAATGCACGCCAGTTATCAGCAACAGACATGACTCGATCTCGGGAACTTTGCGAAAGTTGTTGGAGAATTACATTCTTGACATGAGCAGCAGCTCTTTCACCAGAGCGGGTTGCAAGTTCCAAGTAGACTACAGCTTTCATCATGTCCCTTTCCTGCGCAAGTACTTAAAAATCAGTACCTACATGAATTTTCAAATTCCAAGTTTTCTTTCACACTCTTTTGATGGAGAATTTGTCAACCTAAACAATCAGGCCCCTTTTCTTTTTTCCTGTTTTCACAGTTAAGTTTCCCATTACTACAACGCTCAAATCATTCCGGGGGAGTGGTCAACACATCTAGTGCCAAAGCAACAAACATCATTGTAAACGGAAAGATGATATTTATTTGAAACGTACAGAAAAGAGATGGAGTCCATGCTCAAATTGAGCTTTACTATGGCCACGATCAGCAGCCCGCTTCATCCACTTTTTAGCCTGCTGATGGTTGTGTACCAAGCCTTCCCCGCAAGAATAGCACAGAGAAAGATTGTACATAGCACGCACATATCCACCTTCGGCGGCCTTCAAAAACCACCTAGCCTTTTTCACGAAAAGGAGAAAAATGAGGAAGGGAAGGAAAAGAGACTGAAAAATCTAACTTTCACTGCAAACTGCTGCAACAATGAATGACTAGTCTTCATCAAATGGTTCATTGGGAGGAAAAATAAGAGCAATAGGTTCATAATCTGGTGAAACTAAGGTGCTTAAATATGCAAAATAATATATAAATAGGAAGTATGTTCATAAAAGTTGGATAGATCGGAAGAATACACAGCAAGATGGGCCTAATCGAGTATCACCAAAAGGATAAACGGGCAACTAATTCAAACATTATACCGAAACATAAATCTGTCTCATAAGCAAAAGGGATAGGAAGGGGGAAATAACATACAGCTTCCTGTACATTTCGATCCACGCCATGACCCTGATGGAGACACAAAGCGAGTTGGTATTGAGCTCGAATGTTGCCAACCATGGCCGATTGTCGCAGCCATCTTACAGCTTCAGTGGGATTTGGTGGTTTTGCTGCACAATTCATAGAAAGAATAATGAAAAGGTTGAAAACGATGAATTTGTTCTACAGAGGCAGTACCACTCATCCAGTTATCTACCAAAACAGTAATACATAATTCACAGATCGTGTCAAAACAAACACAAGGAGAAATCTGCATAACTAGCAAGTTCAGTAGTCGAAGGCCTGCAGCAAGCAACTAATGAAAAAAAAATTTCCGATTAAAAATACAGCAAAAGATCGATGCGTTGAAGCAATTCAAATCGTTGAGCATCCAGTGATTAAGTCTAACTAATAAGATTCTGCTTGTCAATCGAGTAAAAACATAAGAAGGGGAATGAAATGGAATAAGATTGAGTATACCGTGCAAAAACGAGATTCCTAGATTGCACTTGCCAGCAGGATCGCCTAGGTCAGCAGCCTTTTGGTACAAGGCAATAGCCTCGCCTTTGTTGCCCATCTCCCAATAGAGAAGTCCAGCATCAACCATAGCAAGGGTGGACCCACGCGCCGCAGCCTTGAGAAAGGAATTAAGAGCCTTGTCAGAATTGGGTCGAACCCCAGCTCGACCATGCTTGAAGCGCTTTCCCCATCGCAGAAATAGCATAGCCTCCCTCAAAGGCCTGAGCGCCTCGAACCAAGGCTTGCATACAAACGACGCAGCTCGCAGATTCGGGAGGTTGAAAGAGGCGGCGATTTTGATCAAAACGTCGTAAGGCAAGGCAGAGAAATCCTGGCCCCCAAAAGAGGAGGGTGGCAGGAAGAAAGGCGTTTGAGAGGAGGAAGAGGTAGAGGGTGAGGCATGGAGTCTGTCGGGGAACTTACTGGAAATGGAGATGGAATTGGCGTGGCGAGAGAAGTGATCAACATCATCCTCGGCCTCAACCGCAGCCTTGCCCTTGACATTGGAGAGAGAAAAGGAAGAGAAAGGAGAGGCATCGGAGCGATCTGGCCAAGTTCTTTGCTTCATAGTTTTGAGGAGGACAAGGCATCTACCACTACTCCATAATCAAATAATCAGAGACAGAGAAGAAGAAGGAGAGGGGTTTGGTGGCGCAGAGGCAATAAATACGCCAAGTTTCCTCCGCCCCCTCCCCCGCCCCGGAGATCACTGCTTCTCGCTTCTCGCTCGTGTGCCTTGACCATTTCTTCTTTTTCATTTATTATCTCCGACCCCACAACATTCCTTCCAACCAAAATAATCATCCTTTTTTCTTTCAAAGATATATGCTGATTATTAAGTAATTTTCCTTTAATTATTTTACTTATCTACCCCTTCTACCATTTTTATTTATTTATTATTATTTTATAAATATGAATTGACTACATACCGCATAACCACCACTAAATTTTTAGAGAAACAATAAATATTTAATTTTTTTTTTATTCTACATTTATTTGAAGTCAAGCTTTATTTACGTTACGCTGTTTTAGTTTCATATTTTTACCCTTAAAAATGACCATATTCCATATTATTATTATTATTATTTACTTTAGTCAATTGAATTCTACAACTCCTAGAGATTGTTTAAAATTGCAATTCGTGGATGTCAAGGGTAGACAACGTTAAGAAGGCCTGGAGTTCATGAAGAACACTGAACACAGCTTATGATGAAGGTCCTATATTTAGTCTCTCCCATACACACCAAAAGAAAGAAAAAGAAAGAAAAAGAAAGATCCACTAAGCGTATTGTTCCATGAACTCATCGTTGAACTTTTTAAAGCTAGCCATGATCGCCGGCATCTCCTCCTCCGGCGGCAAGATGGTTGTTCGCAAATGGAAGACCCTGCAGAACCCATAAACACAAAAGGAGTGTTAACATCTTCTACTATTCTTCTCAAAGCAACCCACTCCCACTAATTTAGCGTTGTTATGGAAGGGAAGACGAGAGAGTACCCTTGTTTCTGTCCAAATCCTGAGCCCGGGACTGTCGAAATTCCAGTAGCTTCCAGAAGCTTGAGACAGTAGAAGACATCAGCTACTTTTCCTGCTGTTTTTGCTGCCTCTATTGCTTTCGGAGGCAGCTGGATTTGAGGGAACGAATACATGGCTCCTACAATACCCCAATTTTCTCCCTTTTATATTTCTTTCTTCAATCACTGTTCTTCTTATTATAACAACACACCACCCATATTCTTACCTTCAGTGAAGTTGCAGACTACATTCTTGCAGCTGTTAAAACCATCTGTCATTATCCTCGCCCTTCTCCTCAGTGACTCCAGGATCCCTTTGCTACATTCATTCTCATGGTTCATATTTCATTATTACTACCATTTTGATATCATCAGAAATAGATAAACGTTCAAATACCATATAGGCGTACCTTTCACGATGATATTGCTCATAGGATATGTCTCCAGGTTTGGGTGGATTGACCATGAGCCCCATCTACATTGTACGAAATAAGTCATTTTTGTAAAAACATGATACATGAATTCAGGCTTCGACACGTCCGTCTCTGAAATCTAATGACTAGTACTAACAAACAAAACTTACAAACACTTGTGCAGGAACATTTGGACTGAGTGATATTGACGCAACCTTGTAGATCTCATCCACTGTCTGCAGGCAGCATTAAAAGTACATGTACACAGAATTTGGATGGTGAGTGTGACAGAAGCAAAGATGGGAGGAGGACTCTGGTCTGGTGATTACATGACCACAAAGAGAGTTCAAGAACCAAATCCTAGTACCAAACCTGAGGAGGAATGTTCGTCATTTCAAAGTATCCACCACGTTGTCCGCACTCGCCCAAATATCCCTTTGACACAGTGTGGAACGATACGAGCTGAAGTTCCTTGCTGATGGGAGGCCCCATATCCATCATTACCTTCCATATGGTAAATAAGGCTACTTAATACAAATATACAGGTAGAGAGGAACATGTTTACGATGTTCTAGTGGCACTGTCACCAAACCTTTTTAGAACTAATGAAGGGTCGTTCATCCTGATAGATGTTTTGCTGATAAACTTCATCGCCAAGTACAGCAAGATTTTCTTGAAAACAGAAGTTCAATATTTCTCTTAAATTTGCTTCACTAAGGCATTGACCAGTTGGGTTACCAGGGTTTATGATTACCATTGCTCTTACCTGGTCGTTTAACAGAATATAAGAGGGATTAGGTCGTGAACACAAACAATACATTTACATGGAATTATCTAACACACAAAATTATCCAAATATGCTGTAATGATTGGGATTGGGACGAAATATAATGATATATGTATCTAAAGTATAGATATGTAACAATCCAAGCCCATCCAAGTCCACCGTTCTGTTACGTATCGCTGTTAGCCTCGTGATTTTTAAAAGGCATCCGTTAGCTAGAGGTTTCTACACCCTTATAAGGAATGTTTTGTTCTCCTCTCCAATCGATGTGGGATTTCACAATCCACCCCTTTGGAAACCCAGCGTTCTCGCTGGCACACCGCTCGGTGTTTGGCTCTGATATCATTTGTAATAGCTCAAGCCCACCATAGCAGATATTGTCCGCTTTGGCCCTTTACGTATCGCCATCAGCCTCACGGTTTTAAAACATGTCTACTAAGGAGAAGTTTCCACACCCTTGTAAAGAATGTTTCTTTCTCCTCTCCAACCGATGTGGGATCTCACAACATCTGAGCAACAAGGAACTGATGAAGCACAGAAGTTGTCTTATCTTTTGAATTGTTGTGACTAAAATACCAGATACATGAGTGTGCATTGAAGTTTCACCAATCCCGTTTCAGATACAGGCATCATCACCCAACATTAAACACAATTCTTCGAGTATCAAAAAGCGTTAAAGAGCTATACTAACCGTGATTCCTTGAGAGCGAGCTTGTGCTACGGACTGACGAAGATCATTGACATCAAGACCCCAGTTTGAGCTCTCATCTAAATAATATGGAACCAAGGAACCACCATACAGAGCAATTGTTGCCGAATAAAGAGGGTATTGAGGGACTGGAACGAGAATCTGGCAACACGAAGAAATGTAAGGCAACATACCAATAAAAAAAAAAGAACTGAAAGGATAAAAGAAGATACATCACCCCATCGCCTTCACCATGGATTATAGTATTCAGTATCTGCATCACCCCTTTGCTGGCTCCATCTGTGAGATATATCAGTTCTGGATCACTGTCATTTAAGCATGCTGCAGTGAGCATTCTCTTAAGAACAAAGGTTGAAATTTATTGGCTCACCATCAAGTCAATATATCGGGTCAGGAAAAGTTTAGATCTTCTTATGTCTATAGCTAGCACTGTTATACCTCGGATAGCCATCACGCCTTTCTATGAACTCCGCCACCTCCTTTCTTACTCCTGGATTTCCTCGGGAATCACTGTAGGCACCTGAAAGAGTGGCCAAGAAATGAATTTTTTTGTCAAGGCTTGGTATGCGTGAGCTCTTCACTTTTGACACCTCAACTGAATAATTTTAAACTGAATGGTACCTTTAGATGGTGGTTAATGAGTAGAAATACAAGCAATGGTCAAGAAATTTAAGGAAACATACTAATTTGGTGGCAAGAACAGAGTAATAAACAAAGCCCGTGGTATCTATATTTATTGATAACACACACTAGGATAATATGGCCTTATGTAAAGAGAAATATTATATTATCAACAGAACATCAGAGCTGCAAAAAAGGGATTATGTAGAAATGGCTTCATGGAATGAATAAGTTCTTTCGTACGAAGTAACATACCTAAACCACCCTCAATCATTGAAAGATAATGTTTGGCCCTGGCAATTGCATCAGGAGGAAATAATTGTTCTACATTGGGATCATCTAGAAGAAATGGGGCTTGGCAAAGAGCAATTACCTGGGGAAGAACAATATATATTTTTAATTATTGAATTGGTATTATGCAACAAGGTATTGCTAAGCAACTCAAGTCATTTAATAGCAGTAAGTGTGAAAATCACCACAGAAGAAGGAAGTTGAAGTGAACCTGACGGGGAAAGGTCAAAGGCTTTTGGCCAAGAGCGTGAGGGTTCCCAACATTTGTGAAGATAATCTGGAAATTGTGAAAGCGAAAACAAAGATGATATGAATGAGAAGAAATTTTTGAAGAAAAATAAATGAAACAGATGAGAAGCATTCAAACCTTTTTCCCTTCTTTCTGAAGCTGGGAGGCTCGAAGATACAGTTCTCCTCTAACGGCATATTGCACCTTTTTCACATTCTCGTTTATGGACTCGTAATCTAATGCTTTTGGACCCATTTTTTCGGATAGTAAAACACACAGCTCCCTTTCGGTCTTCAAATAACACCTGATAAAACAACATTTCATGAACTTCCAGCACTCCTCAGTAACCATAGAACACAAAATAATTTTCTCCCAATAAGATTTCTCCCTCTTCGTTTACCCCCCTTAATTACTCCATCACTTTTCTTTATTTCATCATTACTTCCTTAGAAACCTCAGTCTCCACCCTCATAATTTGAACAATAATCCATAAGAGATTCACGAGCAACCAAAACAGAAAAAACCCCTCTGTTTAAAAACCCATTTCTTGCCATAATTTTTCTAAAGCAATGCAACAAATACATTAGCTTCCCTTCTAGGTACCTTTCTTCCAACTTTGGTCGCTTTTCTTGGACTCGGATTCCTTTGAGTATGGTTCTGAATCTCAGCTTCTTCTTCTCTGTATTTCTATCTCCCTCTCTCTTCTTCTCAATAGGAAAGAAAAGCTTCACAGGAGTAGTTATTTATTCATCTTTTTTTTCCCCACTACTCGAGCCACTCGTCACTCTGAGACATATCCTTGCTGTAAAATTTGGACACTAATCTCCTCCTTGTATTTTCTTTTCGCTTACCGACAAACGGAGGCCGGTCAGCGATCAGAAATGGCGGTTGTCGTTAGTGGGTGTTCATGCAATGCTCACAGTTGGAGATTGGAGCAATATATTGGGTATGGAAGGCGACGAAGAGTTTGATCGACCAAGTGGCGATATAAGATGCCATGTGCCTATCTAATCATGAACCACCCCTTCAACAATACCATCTACCCTCTTCAATTCTCTTCCCTTTCCTGAAAACTCAGAACAAACTTCTTCTAATCTCTGCCTCAGATACATATAATATCAACGACACCGCTCCAACAACCGTTTCCATTTCAACGCAACACCAGAAACTCACTCTCAATCTCCTGATGTCAGTCAAGTTCC